AACAAAGACTACTCCCTTGAGAATCTGAAATCAGTATAAAAGAAGTCAAATTCCAAAACAAATTTTGAAGGTAAAATTTACTAAATTGGGCATCTAATAATCAATCATAGATAATTAATACAAGGTCATACATGGGCAGCTTATAGGCACACCATATCCCTAATCATCTTATAGCTTTTTTTGGAGGGGGGGTCACTAACCATGAATTAATAATGAGATATTTTACCTACCAAAATATCTATCCTGCTGTCTAAATTTCAACACATCTGAGATTATTGTATTTAATCAGATCTCAAATCCTAAAAAGATTTCTGTCTTTCTATAGTCTGTGGTGTTTATGTTTCATAGGTGCTAAAAATTAATGCTGGTTTGGAAGGGGAGTCAGGAAGAAAAGAGGGATGTTATAATCATTTTCAAAGAATATGAGTTTATTATAAATAGCATGATGTTTATCCAGAACTCTTGGGATTTCCCTATGAACCTCTAAAATATAAGTATTCTTTCTGAGAATATATAGCATGTTTTGTATACTTTTATATTCAAATTTAGGGACCTTATCTTCTATGTTATTCACATTTTGAAAATGTTTTGGAAGAAAAAGAGACACTGTTTTCATTATTCAATTCATCATAGCAGCAGAATTTTTTTCAGGCCTGAAAAAATGCAAACGTACTTAAATGAATATTGGACTGGAGTTGTTCTTCTGCAGTCTCCAAAGCACTTTATATAAATGATTTTTAAAGCAGGCACAACACTCTAATGCTTCTGCAGTCTCCAAAGCACTTTATATAAATGATTTTTAAAGCAGGCACAACACTCTAATGCTTCTGCAGTCTCCAAAGCACTTTATATAAATGATTTTTAAAGCAGGCACAACACTCTAATGCTTCTGCAGTCTCCAAAGCACTTTATATAAATGATTTTTAAAGCAGGCACAACACTCTAATGTATATACCTAGTACGCTTTTGATGCAGATGAAAATTCTTGCATAATGATTACTATTATTAGCAACAGAAGGAATCTGTTTCACAAATGGAAGTCCTTCATGGAACCATAGAGTTGGAAAGGACCTCAGATATCCTACTCAGTGTAGAATCTGTTAATAAAGGGGAATATGACACTTCATAATGAAATCTAGATCCGTACCAAGAAATTCTAATATCTATCTTGACTTCTGATGGGAGCAATGGCGGATTGAACATTTCCCTTCAGGTTCTCCTGAAGAGAAATGTCAGTGTGGCATTTTTGAGGCTCGGACAGGAACCCTTGAGCTTGAAGAATTCTCCAGACCCAAGGAGAATCCCTGAAATTGACCCATATATCCTCCAGACAGCTGTTCCTGGTGATGAGATCACAAAGCGAAGGTTTTTGCAATTGCCTGGTGAGTGAGCAGCTGGGCGGCAGAGTTTTCATCCAGTTCCAAGCTGCGCTGAAGTCCAGAAAATGGACACTAAATTCGACCATCCCATTTCTTCATTCCATTTAGATTGCTATTTTTTAGTTAAAGAGAGGCTTTCTTTGGATACAGAGGATTATTTCCTTTTGGCAATTGGAGATATTTCATAGGACTATTGATTTTCAATTGATTGGATATTGGATTTTGCTAAAAATGTAAAGAGTAATGGAGTTTGAATTACTGTGGAATTTTAAAGATACAAGGGAGTTTCTTCTTTCTTTTATTGGCTTTTTTTTTTGTGAATCTGCTTTTGTTGTACTATATTTGGGTCTATACATCTCTGCGAGAAAGTTGTCCTTTTTTAAATCTACTTTGCACTGGTTGGGACAGACTTGTAAACAAGGTAATAGGAGGTTTCCAGAATTTATCATGAACTTTTTTCCTCTCTTTTTCTTCTTTAAGGTGTAATTTGCTTTTTGACCATTAGAGTGTGTTATTGCCTAACTGACTTGCTGAAAGATTTTTCTGGTTGACTTTTTTGCTGGCTGATTTTTTCTGGTTATTATATTTGAAAATGGCATCTAAGAGATTGTACAGATGTGGATCCAGGGACTTTGACTTCTTGAAACAGATGTTTGATGACTGTTCTGTTAAAGTCATATAGGCTATAGAGGCTAAATTTGAAACAATAGAAAAAAAATAGATAAAAAATGGAACAGGTGTTTGCTGATGTAAAACAAATTACTGACAAAGTAGAGGTATTGGAAAATAGAATGGATACTAAAGACACAGAAATGGAAAGAGGGCTGGATAATTTTGCCTTACCTGAATTTAGAGAAAATGAATTTTGTCTGCATTAAGAGCTATTCCAGAAAGTCCTCAGGAGAATATTAGACAGCTGGTTGTGACTGCCTTGTCCAATTTATTAAGCTGGGAAGAAGAGAGGATGGAACAGGAAGTGGCCAAGGTATATTGTATAAATTCACACTTTGCAATTGTTAGAAAACTTCCTAGAGATGTCATGGTATATTTTTTTAAAAGGAGGACAAGAGAACAAGTACTACAAAGTCATTTTGATTCAAGATTAATATACAACTGAAACCAGAGAACTTTTTTTTTTTAGGTATGATGGACAAAATATAAAATTTGGAAATTTGTTTCTTTATATGATAACGGCAGCAAGACTTTTATATGCACAAAATGGAAGGATCTACAAATACCCTGAAGAATGGATATTGAAATTAATGGAATTGGCAGAGATGGCAAAACTGACTACTTTGATCAAAGAAAGGACTTTGTCTAGTTTTTTTTTTTTCTATTTGGAAACCACTCTTGGACTTTTTACTTGATACACCAAAAAAAAAAAAAAGATTTTGAGATTTGATGACTGATTTATTCTATAACTACAGAAATATCTTGTATTACTCTTTTTATATGTCTTGTTGATATAGACTTATTTGTAAACCTTTTAAATGTAAGAACAAAGGATAGTTCTTTTTATGTGAATTTTTAGATATTATAGTAAGAAGTTAATGTATTTTATACCTATGCCTGTATCAAAGAAAGTTGGAAGTTACTTTTCTTTTTCTGTATTTTTCTTTCTTATGTTTTTTCTTTTCTTTTTGATTTTTCTGTATTTTACTTTTTTCTGAATATATGAATGAAATTCTAATTTCTGTCTTGAATCTACTTCCCCATATATTAGCTCCCTGATTCTGGTCTTACCTTGTGGGGCAACAGGGAACAAGTCTGCTCCCTCTTCTGTATGAAATCACTTTAGATATTGGAAGACTGTTATATCCCTCCTCAGTTTTCTTGTCTGTCAGATAATCATATCCCATTCCTTCAACTGTTCTTCATAAGGCTTGGTAACCCTCTGTCAGTAGTTATCAGACTTTTTGATCAAATGCTACTTTCCCTGTAGTCATATCTTCCAAAGAACTGGAACTACAACTCTGGCATTCTCATCAATCTGTCTTATGGAGTGTTACAGTCCAACACATCTAGAATGAAGCCAAGGTTATAAATAGCTGACCTAATCATATATACAAATTACCTTCTTTTGTGTTGAAAGAGAAGTGAATTAACATGTTTTTGCTATACTTTGATACAAGTAGCATGGTTTTTAATATTGTGCAGCATGATAATGTATCAGAGTTAATTTTAACATATATTTCTTTAGCAAACATATACCACAGAACTGATTCCATGGTTGACATCTTTGTGTTTTTTAATGAAGAGGATTTTGTCAATTTCACAAATGCTTTCTGCTCTGTGTACCAAAGGCCCACAACAGGAGAATAATCTTTTGGTAGACGCATGTTAATGTCTTTAGTTATAAATGAATCTGTCATTTGCCATGTTTGTTTCTAGCAGATAAGAATAGTGGCAGTCTTTTAATGGCTTTTTTGGATTGTTTCCCCTTCAGCCAATCCAGCTTTAGTGAAGGAGAATAAAAACTGCATCTACTTTGCTGGGCACTCTCTTGGTCTTCAGCCAAAGAAAATTAAAACTTACTTGGACGAAGAACTTGACAAGTGGGCTAAAATGTGAGTAGTTCTCTGTGGTATAATAAACGAAGTATATCTTTTTGAGAGCAATATATTGAAGATTAATAGGAGAATATTCTATTAAAAACCCCTTTCCTAGGAAGAGTCATACTACCACAGTGATGTTCCAGTAGAATACTACTTTAAAAGATCTGAGTTGCAATACAGGAAAATGAAACAGCTGCAGTAATTTTTGCCTAGCTTCCATTTGCTTAGATAATCTGAAGAGCACAATCATTTTAGTGTTTGCTATTTAAACAATGCAGCCTTATGTATGCCCATCCACCAGTACTTCCCACTGCATTCAATAGGAGTTACTTTTATGTACTTGAGTATAGGACTTCAGTATAACTACTGTATTCTTATTCGGTTTTAGTACTGTTTTGTTATAGAAGTTAGAACTGTGTTGTTGGAGCTGTTATCCTGGATGTGTGATTCAAATCCCCATTTATGTATTTTAGTCTCCAATCTTTATCATAGGTTTTCTTAAAATACAGTTTTCTCCTTTAAAGAACAATCCATATAAACTGTATGCTGTTTGTTTCTGGACTGTGTGTCTTGGCATTTGCTTTCTTAATCCTAGAGCAATAACAGTGGGACAAGATCTTTGCAGCTGGAGGCTTTTGGAGAGGCATGTAACTTTCTGATTCTGAAATTTTAAAATTCAAGTTTTACAACATGAACCAGCCTAGAGCTGAAGCTCTTTACTCATTCAGAATTTAGTAAAATATCAGCATTTGAAATTGTGAATCTTAATATCTGAAATGTTGCTATGATTGGTAAGATCTTTTTTCTGTCTCTTATTGACAAACTCCATTTGCTTATCCTATTCTTTTTAATACAACTTTATTAAGATTTTAATAAAGATAAAAAGTAACAGAAACTAATATTTAGAAAAAAAAGAAGAAAAAAAGAGAAAGCCAAAAGTGTAGAAAAAAGAAAGAAAATATAAAGAAGTAGCATTTATTTATTTATTTATTTATTTATTTATCTGTTACATTTACATAGCTTCCAATTTTCTTTACAACTGTTATAAGTATAAATTTACCTCTTGCTCTATGGTTACAGCATAACTTTCATTTTTTTCTATAATTTTTTTTTCCTAAACATCAAAACCATATATCATAAGTTCATTTTTTTCTGATTCACATATAAAGTCTATAAAGGGTTTCCAGTCAGCAATAAACTTTGATAATGTCTTATCTCTGATCAAAGATATCAATTTGGCCATCTTGACAAGTTCCATTCTTTACCATTCGTTCCTCCATTATGGGTAATGCTGAATCTTTCTAGCTTTGTGCGTATAATAATATTGTTGCAATTATTATGTATAAAAACAAAGTTCCATGACTTTTT